ATTCTGAAGAACGCGTATAATCAAAGGGAAGTAATAAACTCAGGGGGAGTATTTCCTTACTCCTTATTCTTTTACTTCTTATTCTGATACAAATTCCAGATACCTTTTCACGTTATTTTCATTTAAAATATCTAGTTTTTGTCATCATCAAAAAGGGGGAGATTGTTAGAACAATGTTTGAATCTACTACCCTATAATTAAGTTTTGATGATAACAAAGTGAAAAGATATAGTATTTATAAGTGTCATGAATGAACTATCTGCTGCCTAAAATTATTATGTTCTGACTTGCAGATACGCTGATTGAAATAAGCAAGATCACATCTATTCAGCATCAGAACTTGATTTCAGACATCAGCATCAGAAGTTGCTACATCAGAACGTCAAAATCAGATGATCAACTCACGTACATGCTGAAGCCTGATGAACAAGACTGCGCTTAATACTCTGATACAGAAACACAATAGTTCATCAGCAGCGAAGCAGAATCAGAATGAGCCAAGCCAGAACTTGCATTAAGTAAGCAACGGTACTGTGCATTGAAAGCAAATTAATTCCAACGGCTTCATTCCAGACAAGATCTGCTCAATAAGGAAAGTTTGTTATTAGCATTGAATCAAGAATGTTGCATCCAACGTTCATCATCTCAATGCTATATAAACAAGGCTTTGAAGATTGAAATGGTTAATGCTCTCCAAAATCTCTACACGCACAAAAGCTGAACCATAATCTTCGTTCTACCAGTTTTGCTAAACCATACACTCTGATATTCCATTACTGTTTAGCAATCTAGTTTCTAAGCTTCATTTTGTGTATACATCACAGTTGTGATACAGTTTTGTAGAAAACATCCACACACATAGTTTTATCTCTTTGTAAGAAAGTGTTACCTTGACAAACCGGGTTGTGGTTTGAATCAAGAAGGCTTTAGCAGTTGTTAAAGCAGTCTGTAATATTCAGTTGAATATAGTGGATTAAGACCTCGTTGGAGAGAGGCGAAATCACCTTGACGGGTGGACTGGAGTAGTTTGAGATCAAACGAACCAGGATAAAAATATCTTGTCAATTGCTTTAGATTTCAGTTTTACAATTCAACCCCCCCTTCTTGTGTTTTTCACCACTTCAGTCACTTCTTCATCACTAGTGTCACTTTCAGAAGTACAAACACTAGTTAGAGCAGTAACTAGTTTGGCAGATTCTTCTTCAGAATTACTTTCTGAATCATAGTCAGACCAACTAACAGTCATTCCTTTCTTTTGTTTCTTAAGAAAGGTAGGACATTCAGCTCGAATATGTCCATATCCTTCACATCCATGGCATTGAATACCTCTGCCTTGGTTTCCCTTATCTTCTGACCTTGGTCTTCTGCTGGAACTGTCAATGTCAGAGGGAATGTTATGAACATTAGACCTTGACTTTGGATCCATTCTTTTGATGAGCTTGTTGAACTGTCTTCCAAGCATGGCAATAGCTTCTGATATATTTTCTTCTTCATCCTCCTTGTTTTCAACATCAGTGTTGGATACAAGTGTTATGCTTTTGTTCTTCTTGTCACCATTATCAGTGATCCCCATCTCAAAAGTCTGAAGAGACCTAATAAGTTCATCCACTTTCAACTTGCTGATGTCCTGGGCTTCCTCTATGGCAGTTACCTTCATTGCAAATCTTTTAGGCAAGGATCTGAGAATCTTCCTTACCAGTTTTTCTTCTGACATCTTTTCTCCCAGTGCTCCTGAGGTGTTGGCAATCTCCAAGATGTTCATGTGAAACTCATGAATGGTTTCATCTTCCATCATTTTTAGATTCTCAAACTTGGTAGTCAACATCTGAAGCCTTGACATTTTTACTTTGGAAGTGCCCTCATGAGTAGTTTTGAGAGTGTCCCAAACTTCCTTGGCCAGTTCATATTGATGTACTAGTCTGAAAATGTTTCTATCAATTCCATTGAACAAGGCATTTAAAGCTTTTGAATTTCCCAGAGCTAACTCATCTTCTTCTTTACTCCAATCTTCCTCAGGCTTCAGACTGATTGTCCCATCTTTCTCAGTTATGGTGGGATGAATCCATCCTTTGTCAGCAGCTCTCCAAGCCTTTTTGTCCAGAGATTTTAGGAAGGCAATCATACGAGGTTTCCAGTAGTCATAATTAGTTCCATCCAGAATGGGTGGTCTATTTCCAAAAACTCCTTCTTTGTCCATAGTGCCAGAAAGTGATATCCCTAGATCTCACCCAGTAATACAGGCAGGGTGCCTGCTCTGATGCCAATTGAAATTCTGGCTGCAGATACTCAATGTCACGTTCAATGTTATGACACCGTATCTGACTTACTATATGACAGTAAATACAAAAGCAATAAAGAACACAGTCAATTGTTTACCCAGTTCAGTGTGCAACAACACCTACTCTGGGGGCTACCAAGCCAGGAAGGAAATCCATTATAAGAGATGTTAATTCAGGAATAAACCAACCAGTTTATCTCCTTCACTTAAGACCTACCCAATGCAATTCCAATCTAAGTACAACTTAAACCTGAGTTCCTACTCACTCCCCCTCAATCACAGCAGTGATACATAAAACAATTTGACTAAAGAATTGATGAAGACACTCTTCAAAAACAAACACTTGATTAAGCTTCACAGCTTTTTAATCAAGCAACACAATCACTCTTGCTTCACAACTTTGAGTGATGCACACACCTAACTTGACTCTGCTTCACAGCTTTAGTCAAGGAACATTCAAACACTCTTGCTTCAAAGCTTTGAGTGCTACACAACCCTTACAATTAAAAACCTATTCCAAGTCACTTATCACAATGATAATTGCTTGGAGTACAATAATCAAACCTATACAGTTTACAAATGATCTTCTGATCAATAAAAGGGATTCCTTGCAAAACAGCAGCTCTGTTGAATATATAGCAGTTGCAACTTCAGTTAGGGTTTCCACAAAAACTTAGGGTTAATTCCGTTTGACCTAAAGACCAGGTCACAGGACTTTATTAACCAGGTTAGGGTTGAGCTAGGTTACCCCTCAGAAAACGCAGGATTCTGTTTTGGAAAGACTGAGTTATTTTCCTGAAAAAACTCAGACTTATCCAACCTGCAAACCTGTTAGTTCAGAACAGGATGTCATAACGTCTGTTATGACATCTGAGAAAACCTGTCTACTGATTTAGCAAAATGTGATTATTTTGCAAAATGCTCAGATACACACTTATAAACATCAGTACTTGAATTACAATATTTTTCTGCAAAGGTACCTAATGAGTCAGTACAAACTAAACTAGAATGTTATGACATCAGTCATGACATTCACACATACACTTGGGTTTTACCAAAAATGCAAGCCAATACCTAAACAACTACAAGTCATTATTTGTTTCCAGTCAGGTGATTTAAACAGCCAGTGTCCATATACCACCAGTTTACCAAACACTTTCCATCAGACTCAGAAGCCATCAATAGCACAGGTTCTTCATCAGAATCTCCTCTGGCTATATTTTTTTCTTCTAATTTCCTTCCCTTATTTGACCAGCAATCTTTAGCAAAATGGTCAAACTGCTTACAACAGTAACATTGAACCTTTTTCTTGTCAAACTTCTCCTTTCCCTTCTGATGTTTCTTCTCATCAGAAGTAGAGGTTTCTGACTTCTAGAATATATTACCACGTCTATTCTTGGCTTCTGACCAAGAATTCTTCTGCTCCTTCTTGACAAAAGAAGCCTTCAGAGTCTGCTCAACTTCCCTCTCATAAGTTCTTTCAGTCAGACGCAACTCTTGCGCCTCTAGACTGTTTTGCAGCTCTTCTATTCTCATGGTGTCCAGATCTTTAGAATGTTCAATTACTACAACAATGTAATCAAATTGAGAAGTAAGCGGCCTCAATATCTTCTCAATGATTACTTGTTCAGAAAGGGTTTCTCCATAAGCCTTCATCTCATTAGTGATCAGAATCACTCTAGAGATGTACTCAGAAACCTTCTCATTGCTCTTCATATTAAGATTCTCATAATGCTTTCGTAGGGATTGAAGCTTCACCTTCTTCATTGATGCATCACCATTGTAACATCTAACCAGTATGTCCCATGCCTCCTTCGTCATCGATGAATCAACAATTTTCTCAAACACATTCACATCCACACATTGATGAATATAGAACAACGTTTTTTGATCTGTCTTCCTCTTGTCTCTCTGTTCATTTCTCTCTTCTTTTGTCGCATCTGCAGCAACCGGAATATAGTCATCGGTAACAAGCTTAAGCTAATCCTGAGCACCGAATAACATGCACATCTGAATCATCCATATGTTCCAGTTCTTGCCATCAAGAACAGGAAGTTTGGTACTCAAATTATTGTTTCTATTCATCCGTAACCTTATACAAAACACTCAGATCTCACTAAACACAATGCTTTGCAATCCCTCATAATCAGAAAATGTGATTCTGTTCATATTTTGTTCAAGATTCAACACGAATTCAATAACCAAAATTAATCACATAACGCCTCACTGTTTCACTCGTGTTTCTCGTGTTTCCCCGTGAATTAGAATTGAAGTTCTAGATACCAATTTGTTGATGCACAAGGTGATAATGAACAGAAGAATATATTAAGAGAGTAAAGAGAATGACGGTGGTAAAAGCTACAAGAGGAATAAATGTTATTCTTATGACATTAACAACTAGTCTATTTATAGACAAAAAAAAAATGTCAGATAAGCCCTAATAGAATAGACTTAATATCTAAGTTATTAAAAACAATTAAAAATACTAAAAATACTTTTTAATAATCAAAAACTTAAAATCACCGAATTCACTTATTATTAAAGATTTAGCTTCACTTTTATTTGGCAATATTGAAGTTGACCAAACAATATTCATATTAAAAAGAAGATAAAATTAAAATCAAGAATTTTTACAGTAATTAGGCTTAAATTTAAAAAATGCTAGAGAGAGAAACTCCCCCCTTCTCTTTAACTTCAACTACTTTCTCACTCTTCTTCGATCATGGTTCGTCTTCATTTGTCTGCTCAAGACCATGATGGCTGGATGAGGGTTGGTCAGAGGAACGGTAGAAGCGGTGCTTCTGGGTGATGGGATGTTGCGGGAGGTAGAGGGAGCAGGAATATGGGTACGTCAACAACAATGTTTTTCATTACGGAATTTGGGGATAACTGGAAATCGAAGGATCTATTTTTTGAACTCAAGGAGTTGAGGGAGATTGATGAGGGGGTTATCCAAGGTAGAAGGTTCAATGGCATGGCGAACAATCGTTCATTTGCAGAGGTCGTAATACAGGTGCTAGTGGTGAAGCCTTGGTGGCTAAAACCATTAATTTGTGTATTCTTGAAGATTTAGTCAGTAGAAACTTAAATGTTAATAAGCCCAAAAATAGAAAGAAGAAAGCAGTAAAGGAATTAGGTCTGAAGGTGGATTTTAATCCATCGTATTTTGCCTGTATCGCTCCTACAAACGTTAGCAGCTCGGCACAAATACAGTGGTGCGGTAGCGACTCGTAGTATGGATGGAGGATCTTTTTCCAATGGTGAGTTCTTCCCCTCCAACTCCCTAACTGACACTGAGGTAATGCGATGTAATTATAGGTTGTTAAATAGTTCTAAATCTGATGTGGGGAGGAATTTTCGAACTCAATTACAAAGCTGGGGGTCGTGAGTGGTGGTTGAGACATGTATGAGTGTTAAATTGGTAGAGGCTATGGAGTTGGGAGATAACAAGGGTTTGGTGGATAGGAAGAGTAAAAGTGGGAATGAAGAGTGGTGTCTTGGAGGTGAATTTAATGAAGTTGTTTGTAGAGAAGAAAAATTAGGGGAAGGAGTTTATCACAATAGAAGATGCATGGAGGAGTTTAGAGGCTTCATCGAGGAAATGGGATTGGTTGACATTCCTTGAGTGGGAGGTAGATTTACTTGGTACAAAGGCAATGACAAGGCTATGAGTAGACTTGATAGGTTTTTGGTAGGAGGTAGATTTACTTGGTACAAAGGCAATGACAAGGCTATGAGTAGACTTGATAGGTTTTTGGTATCAAGGAAGTTGATTGAAGAGTGGAGAGTGGTTGATCAAAGGGTGGAGTTTAGAGATATCTCGGATTATTCTCCAATTCGGCTCAATATCGAGAAGATTGATTGGGGTCCTAAGCCTTTTAGGTTTAAAAATGCTTGGTATAAACATGAAGGTTTCAAGGCCTTTATTTTTTAAGAGTGGGCAAAGTTGAAGGTAGAGGGTAGAGGAGACTTTATTTTTTAAGAGTGGGCAAAGTTGAAGGTGGAGGGTAGAGGAGACTTTATTTTGTATGAGAAGCTTAAAAGTTTGAAACATCGGCTTAAAGAATGGAATTGTGATGTCTTTGGATGGATCAATTTAAAGGTGAGTGAGGAGGTGGGAAATCTTAATAAGTTGGATAAGTTATTGGTGGAAAATCATGGAGGTAACGTTGATCCCTTAGTTAATAATAGAAGGGAAGTCACTAAAGAGTTGTGGAATTGGTTAAATGTGAAAGAAAGTATGTTAAGGTTGAAATTTATACAACTTTGGTTGAAAGATGGAGACAAGAATACTCGTTTTTCCATAATTTTCTAAAGGAGAGAAATAGAAGGAACACCCTCACTTTATTGGAAGGGGGGAACGGAAGGGTGGAAGGTGTGGAAGAAATTAAGGAGGCGGTCAAGAATTATTTCGAAAGGTTTTTTATGGAAGAAGATACTAGAAGAGCTTTACCGGAGGGTCTCATTTTCAAAAGCTTGTGTGAGAATGATAGAGTGTGATTGGAGAGACCGTTTTCAAAGGAGGAGGTGAAACAAGCGGTTTGGTCGTGTGATGGTAATAAAAGCGTCGGTCCGGATGCTTACACCTTTGAATTTTTTCAACAAAATTAGGAGGTTATAAAGGAGGATGTTTGTAGTTGTTTAGTTATTGGCTTGCATTTTTGGTAAAACCCAAGTGTGTATGTGTGAATGTCATGACTGATGTCATAACATTCTAGTTTAGTTGTACTGATTCATTAGGTACCTTTGCAGAAAAGTATTGTCATTCAGGTACTGATGTTTATAAGTGTGTATCTGAGCATTTTGCAAAATGATCACATTTTCCTAAATCAGTAGACAGGTTTTCTCAGATGTCATAACAGATGTTAAGACATCCTGTTCTGAACTAACCGGTTTTCAGTTTGGTTAATTCTGAGTTTTTTCAGGAAAATAACTCAGTCTTTCCAGAACAGAATCCTGCGTTTTCTTTGGGTTAACCTAGCTCAACCCTAACCTGGTTAATAGAGTCATGTGACCTAGTCTTAAGGTCAAACGGAATTAACCTTAGGTTTTTGTGGAAACCCTAACTGAAGTTGCAGCTGCTATATATTCAACAGAGCTGCTGTTTTGCAAGTAATCCCTTTTTGGTCAGAAGATCATTTGTAAACTGTATAGGTTTAATTATTGTACTCCAAGCAATTATCATTGTGATAAGTGACTTGGAATAGGTTTTTAATTGTAAGGGTTGTGTAGCACTCAAAGCTTTGAAGCAAGAGTGTTTGAATGTTTCTTGACTAAAGCTGTGAAGCAGAGTCAAGTTAAGTGTGTGTATCACTCAAAGCTGTGAAGCAAGAGTGGTTGTGTTGCTTGATTAAAAAGCTGTGAAGCTTAATCAAGTGTATGTTTTTGAAGAGTGTCTTCATCAATTCATTAGTCAAATTGTTTTATGTATCACTGCTGTGATTGAGGGGGAGTGAGTAGGAACTCAGGTTTAAGTTGTACTTAGATTGAAATTGCATTGGGTAGGTCTTAAGTGAAGGAGATAAACTGGTTGGTTTATTCCTGAATTAACATCTCTTATAGTGGATTTCCTCCCTGGCTTGGTAGCCCCCAGAGTAGGTGTTGTTGCACACTGAACTGGGTAAACAATTGACTGTGTTCTTTACTGTTTTTGTATTTACTGTCTTATAGAAAGTCAGATATGGTGTCATAACATTAAACGTGACATTGAGTATCTGCAGCCAGAATTTCAATTGGCATCAGAGCAGGCACCCTGCCTGTATTACTGGGTGAGATCTAGGGATATCACTTTCTGGCACTATGGACAAAGAAGGAGTTTTTGGAAATAGACCACCCATTCTGGATGGAACTAATTATGACTACTGGAAACCTCGTATGATTGCCTTCTTAAAATCTCTGGACAAAAAGGCTTGGAGAGCTGCTGACAAAGGATGGATCCATCCCACCATAACTGAGAAAGATGGGACAATCAGTCTGAAGCCTGAGGAAGATTGGAGTAAAGAAGAAGATGAGTTAGCCCTGGGAAATTCCAAAGCTTTAAATGCCTTGTTCAATGGAATTGATAGAAACATTTTCAGACTAGTACATCAATATGAATTGGCCAATGAAGTTTGGGACACTCTCAAAACTACTCATGAGGGCACTTCCAAAGTAAAAATGTCAAGGCTTCAGATGTTGACTACCAAGTTTGAGAATCTAAAAATGATGGAAGATGAAACCATTCATGAGTTTCACATGAACATCTTGGAGATTGCCAACACCTCAGGAGCACTGGGAGAAAAGATGTCAGAAGAAAAACTGGTGAGAAAGATTCTCAGATCCTTGCCTAAAAGATTTGCAATGAAGGTAACTGCCATAGAGGAAGTCCAGGACATCAGCAAGTTGAAAGTGGATGAACTTATTGGGTCTCTTCAGACTTTTGAGATGGGGATCACTGATAATGGTGACAAGAAGAACAAGAGCATAGCACTTGTGTCCAACACTGATGTTGAAGAAAATATTTCAGAAGCTATAGCCATGCTTGGAAGACAGTTCAACAAGCTCATCAAAAGAATGGATCCAAAGTCAAGGTCTAATGTTCATAACATTCCCTCTGACATTGACAGTTCCAGCAGAAGACCAAGGTCAGAAGAAAAGGGAAACCAAGGCAGAGGCATTCAATGCCATGGCTGTGAAGGTTATGGACATATTCGAGCTGAATGTCCTACCTTTCTTAAGAAACAAAAGAAAGGAATGACTGTTACTTGGTCTGAATGTGATTCAGAAAGTAATTCTGAAGAAGAATCTGCCAAACTAGTTACTGCTCTAACTAGTGTTTGTGCCTCTGACAGTGACACTAGTGATGAAGAAGTGACATTTGAAGAACTGGCTGATACCTACAAGAAATTGTGTATCAGAAGTGTTGAAGTCTGTGTGCAGAATGAGAAACAATCAAAACTCATTATAAAGCTGGAGGCTGAAAAAAGGGCAGATCTTGAAACTATAAGTCACCTAGAAGGGGAAGTTCAATTACTGAACTCACAATTGAACCAAATGACAAAATCTGTCAAGATGTTGACCAATGGATCAGACAAATTGGAAGAGATTCTTCAAGTTGGACAAAATATGGGAAACAAATCTGGTCTAGGATTTGTGGAAGCTAAGAAATCTGGTGCAGACAAGAAGATCAGGCATGTTAAACAATTGTCAAAGCAGATGTCTCAACACAACTCTCAACATCAGAAATACATGAAGAAAAAATACCAAAGATGGAGATGTCATCATTGTGGGAGGTATGGACACATAAAGCCCTTCTGCTTCAAATTGCATGGATACCCTAATCAAAACTCAGGTGCTAAACCTATGCCAAAAAGGGTACCACATACTCCTCATTGGAAGAAAAAGGCTACTGCCCTGATAGCCCATACTTCCCTGAGAGTGTCTGCAAAGGAAGGCTGGTACTTTGACAGTGGATGTTCCAGACACATGACTGGAATCAAAAACCTCCTCAATAATGTTAAGCCTCACACCACCAGTTTTGTGACCTTTGGAGATGGTGCTAAAGGTGAAATCAAAGGAGTTGGTGATTTGGACTGCCCTGGAGTTCCAAGTCTGAATGAAGTACTGCTGGTAAAAGGGCTGACTTCTAATCTCATTAGTATCAGTCAATTATGTGATCTAGGATTCAAGGTCAACTTCTCAAAATCTGAATGTCTAGTAATTAATGAAAAACTAGAAGTTGTAATGAAAGGAATCAGATCCAAAGATAACTGCTACTTGTGGCAGCCTGAGAACACTGATAACTCCACTATGTGTCCAATTACCAAAGAAGAAAAAGAGATGAAACTGTGGCAGCATAAGCTTGGTCATCTTCATCTAAGAAGAATGAAAAGAGCTATCTCTATGGAAGCAGTCAGAAGGACTCCAAAACTACAGGTTGATAATGTCTATGATGTGGCAAATATACTTGAAGAAGGATGTGTTGTCAGAACCATAAGTTATCATGACAAGGATGTTGGAAATAACAAGTCTAATAAATTCTGTTTCCCTGAAGAAATGAGGCGTGAAGTCTCCTCTCCTATAACTCTCCATCAAAATGGAGTGGACAAAAAGAAAATCATTCAAGAATCAACCAGAACTATGATTCATATCAAAAGAATGCCTTCCCAACTCTGTGCGGAAATAGTTGCTGCTAGGAATAACTATTCTCAAAATATATGGTCAAAACAGATGCTCACTGAGTATAATGTCTCACAAGATGTTGTGACATTGTGTTGTGACAATCTGAATACAATCAATATTTCCATGAACCCTATTCAGCATAACAGGAACAAGCACATTGACTTTGTAGAGAAGAAGTCATTTAAACTGGAACATGGTATCTTTAAGCTTCAGCTGACTGATTCTTCTACCAAGGCTCTTGTTGGAAATAAACTTGAAAACTTGAGGGGCGGGTTGGGTATTTACCAACATGAGAAATTATAGCAATTAATTTTGCTTAAAACAAGGGTTGAAGGAGTTAATTTTATTAAGTCTATTTTTAGTGGGTTAATCATATGTTTTCCCAATTCTTTCAAAATCCTTAAGAAGTTGAAAAGACTCTCTTTTGCCTCCTACCTCTCTCGTCTTTGCAACCTGTTCCCTCCTCTCAATCAAAGTTTTTTCTCAAATTGCTACTGGTACTCAAAGTCAATCAAAATGTCTCAGACATTATCTTCAACCAAGGCGACTTCATCATCCTCATCATCCACATCATCTGACCAAGACTCTAGAGCAATCACCACATGCATAGAATCTGAAGTTCTTGAGGTCACTCCTCTCAGAGAGATGGCAACTGACCCAGCCAAAGTCAAAAAGCTAAGAACTAGACATGCAGGAAGAGCTCAAGCTGCAGCCTCTGGTAATCCTTCTCATCCTTCTTCTTCTGTTCCAAATAGAGAAGGATCAGTTCAAGTTCATCAAGCTATTGCTAGGCTTGTTACTAGTATACTAAGCGGAAACCAACCTGTACCGGGGATTTCTGTCCCTTTAAATCAATCAGGAAGCCCAAATGTGGACCTCTCTGAGAATGTAGATGTCTCTGAGAATGTTGTGACACAAAATGACAACATTCAGAACCCTTCAGAAAAGACTGTTGATCCACCTATCATTGATGTGGATGAGGATTACTCAGATAATGATCTGATTGCCAATGTAAACCCTAGCATAGCTAGGAGATTGATGAAAAGAAAGGGTAATCAGAATGATGCAAAATGTGTGTCCAAAGATAAACCTGCTGTTAAGAAATCCAAGGCTGCAGGCATGGCTGAGGTAGAATCTGTGAAAATTATTCAGACC